GCAGAAATCAGAAATAACATTTAGTGTCCAAACACATATATGTTTGAAGAAATAAGTGATTTCTAAACCTCCTGGAAGTAACACAAGCATTGATGTTTGTGATATTGATGTTTGGGTTAATCAGAAAGAACAGCATCATCAGCTACACATATATTTGCATTTTAAAAAAGAAGAAAGAACAGCATTAGTCCAATATACATTAAAATAGGGATAGAAAATAGTATAGCTTAATCTATTTGCTGCTCCATCAGACACAAAGACTCTTCTCTGTGCCGTGAGTCCCACTTTAGGAAAAAAGCCCCTGGGTCTTAAAGAGGTAAAGTAAAGTAATAGAACCAGGATTTGTACCAGGTTTTCTAGCACTAAATCCATTGCTTATCTATCAAATCACAGCTATTTGTATGCAACGTAATAGTGTTCTCATGTTAAATTCTGAACTTCCCCAGAACTGGGACATACTTTATTTATCTCTGGGTCCCCAGTGCCTCTTACAGAACCTAAATCTTGATATGCAGTCAGGGATTGTGTGGTGAAATGGGTTCATGAATGATTGAATGAAAAGACAAGTTCTACCTTTTGTACTTTTTTAAAAGTTTCCTTTACCCAACTAAAAGGTTTCTCTCCATGGAAGGTATGTTTCCCCAAAATAAACCTCAAGTGTTTGTCAATACCAGAATGCAAGTGGATCAAAAGGGCTTTTTTAAAAATTCCTACTCTTCCCAAAAAGTGAAAAAAGTTTCTTTGTTACCTAAAATATCTGCACCAGATTGTACAATACTGTCTCTTAACGCAAGTGCTTATTATTGTGGCTAATTTGGTCACATGTGTTTGAGGGCGAACAATGCCTCAGAAATTTTTAAAAGCAAAACAGCAATCTGAAGCGTTTGTTGTAATGAGATGTAAATTGCCAACATCGGTAGTGGAGCCGACAGAAATTTGCAATGAAGTGATTTTTCCTCCTCTTAAATTAAAAGCACTACAAGCCCTCCATTCTCTCCCCCGAAGAACCCACATGCTTTTTTGTTCCCTTTCTTTCTGATTCTGTAATGCCAAATATCATGCTTTATTGATTGATTCATTCCTTCACTCATGCCATTTTTGAACCTCTGTTGTGTGCCTGCCTTAGTGCTAGGCTTTTCCACAGGTGTCATTGACTGCACGGGGGCAATTGGCCATCCCCATTTTGCAGGTAGGAAAGTTCACTCACAGAGGTGAGATGATTTGACTTGCCTGAAGTCGTGCAGCTGGGAGTCACACCAGATCTCCTGAAAGGTCCCTTTCAAGATGTGCCTGTGTCTGGTTTATCCAACTGACCTTCACTATACTGTGTGGAAGGAGGAGGCAGTTGCAGTGAGCCTTCCCTGGGGTAAAGCAAATGGTGCTCACTGAGGATGTTAGGAAAAAGCTTTCCTTGAGAGCCAGAAATTTCATCTCAGTGCCGTAGTACTGATAGTATTTGACTATCAGTCTCTGAGGAGACCATCATGAACCTGGAGGTGAGTGGGTGAACTGTGGAGTACAAGAACCTGCTCTGTGCCCAGCCTGTGCCAGGCCTAGAGGGAAAAGCAGAATAACAGGGACTCTGCTTCACAGGACCTGGGGTTTAGTCGAGACAAACTTAAGCATACAAGTATAACATGTGAGGAAGGGGACAGTAGGTGGTGAACCACTATTTATCGATCACCCCAGACTCTGAAGTAATCATTTTATTTGTGTGGTTAACTTGTTTAATCATCGGTCTTGCCAAGACTCTCTTATCTTTCCTCCTTTCAGGTGAGGCAACAAGGTCAGGGAGGTTAAGCAATATTTACGTGTAAATTATTTCTTGAGGCTAGAATATGCCCCAAGCACTATGCTGTGCAGCTCTGACTGCCCTCAAGCCTCACAATCTATTGGGGGGAACAGACATAGAGACAAATGAGTGCATCTGATTGTTATGGTAGACTGAAGGCAGTGAAGAGAGTTCAGAGCAGAGTGGAGCTCTGTTGCCCAAGGAAGATCATAACTCACCAGAACAGTAAGTGGCAACCCTAGTGTTTACACCTCAGTTGCTCTGACTCCAAATCCCAAGCCAAGAGGTGGAGGGAATACTTACCTCTATTTGAAGGGGTAGAGCAGCCTCATGGAAGAGGTGGCATTTGAGTCAGGCCTTGCATCACTAGATATCCTTAAAGGTAGAATGTTCCAGACAAAGGGAATGGCACAAGCAAAGACTAGGAGGCTAGAAAGAATGATGCATGTGTGGAGAGGGTTAGGCCAACCATTTGGCCTAATATGGAGTCTAACTATGGGGAAGGGACCAACAGGGGACGGAGCCAGAAAGATAAGTCTCTCATCCCCTACCTTTCTGATGTCCCCTAGAAGTCCCTCTATAGACAGTGTGGAAGCAGAGTCCTTTGTCTATAACTATAGCCACCTGAATTGTCCATTCTCCTAATTAAATGCTCCTGATTTCTACTTGACCATCCTAATTTCTACTTCTTGGGCTGCAAGAAAGGTTACAGACATTCAGGAGAACACCTCTACTCTCAAGCACCCCTACTGAGCAGCAGGGCTTAATTTCAGAATCTTTACCCCAGCCCACTAAATTCCCTTTCTCCCCACCCCCCTCCTATCATGAAGAATTTACTAAGAGTCTGACATATGCCAGGCACTGCCCTAGGCTCCAATATTCCAAAGGGAATAAAACTTTGTTCTTGAAGAGCTTCGCAGTCTCTTGTTGAAAACAGACAGATGATTGCAAATATAACTTGCTAAAAGTATTCTCGGTGTAGAAATGGTGTAGAAACCTCCTACTTGGGAGCAGTCAGAGCAAGGCCTCACAAAGAAGACACCTGAGCTATGTCCTAAAGTCTAACTGGGGCTTGGCAGACAAGGTAGCATTCAAGGCCTAAGACAACAGCACTGATTCCTAGGACAACATAGCATTTGGGGGTACCTGAGCAAAGTTGAATAGTGGGGAGGGAGTGTGTACAAGAAGTAAGCCCTAGAGGTAGAGAGGAGGCTGTGGTTTGGGACTTAATTTTGAGAGTAACGGGGAACCTAGGCATGAAAGACAGGGTCATGTGGAAGAACTCTTTGATAGCCATTGTGGAGATGGTTGGGAGAGAGACAGACTGAAGTTGTAGCTGGATTGTATTCATTCCTTGTCCAATAGCCACCTCTCATGGAAGGAAAAGGAGGCTTGAGAGGAGAGACATGATCTTGCCAAAGATGACCTGTGAGCTAGTGGCTGCATGGACCACCTCCTCTCAGCCCATTCCTTTCTCCTGGCTCTGAAGGTCAGAGCAGGAAGAGATCTCAGATGCCAACTCAGTCACGTGCTTTAGAGGAAATTGAAGTAATTACTTCTTCCCAGATCTGAGAAAAGATCAAGTGCTCCACCTGAATTTGTTTGTATCTGAGAAATTCAACCTGAGAAATTCAACCCATGCAGAGAAGAGAAACTTTGGCATTTGCTCCTGAAACTTTAGAAGTATTCATTCATTGTTGTCATTTTTTGAAAGAATTTATTTAGCCAACATTCAGAGAGCATCTACTTAGGGCTAGATGCTGAGAACAAAGGGAAGAATGAGATCTAGGCCCAGCCCTTGAATAGGTCCCACACTATTGGGAGATGCTGTCAGAACGATGATGATATCGTTGGTCCTTCATCTTCCAACTTCTGCACCTACAGTTCACTCGCCTGTGGTCACACAGTCAAAACACAGCAGAGCCAGGAGTGGGATCTGAAATCTCTACCAAGATGGAGCGAGCTCTTTCATTGGCGCTGTTTTACTCCCCAGCCGTCGTCGTGCATTCGGTTTTGTACAATTTTCCTGCTTGAATCTTTGGAGACTAGATAGATTCTGTCTTGCAGTTGACAGCTGCCAGCAGCTCAGGATTTATATTCTCTTCTGGGAAGCTCTGTCATGAGGAATTTTAGTAACAGAATCACCAATACCTTTTCTACCACCCACCAAAGTCTAGGATGTGGCAACCGAACACAGAGTTCCAACGGGCTTGTTGCAGAGGGCTTTGATACATAAAGAGCTTTGTACCACAGTTAGGATAAGAGAAGGCTGGCCTGTGAATCCATCCGTTCCTTAAGTTGTATGCACAGCCATAAGGGAGCTGCTGTGGCAGTAGCTGAATCTTTGATCCCAGTTAACTCCTGAAATGTTTGCATAGGGAGAATTTCCAGCATGTTAAATTCTGTTGGCCTTTGGAGTCCTTCTCCCACAAAAGTTAATCAAGCTATTTGAGCTTATTTACCCGTTTTCGCTCTGTTCCTCTGACCCTTGGTAATCAAGACACAATAGGTGATTTTTTAAAATGGTCCATCACTTTTAAAAGCTAATGGAGAAAAAATATCCCCCTTAGATGCCACCATTTGTCTAGCTTCCTTTCACTGTTTAAACCGCAGGTAATTTGTGTTGATTGCATTAAAATAAAAATCAGAGTAGCTGCTGGATCAGGCAATCAGGGGCATAATCTGTATTGTATTTTAATTTCTTGGTTCAAATGCTCCTGTCTAGAAACTAGGTCTTGGGGAAGGGGAGGTCTTCGCATTTCTCACCACAGCGCTCCTAACCTCCTTTCTTCTGCTATGGCCTTCTCCACTGCAAGCCGCTGAGGTGGGGTTTTTGGCAAGTACACAGTTTGCTCATTCCAGTAATTGCCACCCCTTCTCCTCCAACTGAGTCTTAACAGAACCTATTTCCTGTGCAGGAAACTAAGTCTTTGCCTTTCCGTTTAGACGATGACACCCTAGAAGAGTACTCCTCATTCATATTTAATTACAGTGGCATCCATTCTTGTCTTCTAGTTTTCTACTTTTTTTCCTTGTGACATTCATTCCTCATATTATTTTCAAGTCTGGGTTTAAGTGTAGTCCAATGGACAAAAATAAGCTAGCATTTTTTTTTTGTGCCACTATGTGCTGATAGATGCGTAGTTAAAACTATTTGCCTTTTATTTTCCTTGGAGTTCTAGACAGATTTCTCTTCTTAACTGCCTAGGTCCCGCCATTGACCTGGAAAAAGTAAAGTCAGAATGTCTCGAGCCCGAGCCGGAGTTACGGAGCACTTTCAGTGAGGAAGCAAATACGTCGTCCTATTACCCCGCTCCTGCGCCTGTCATGGACAAGTATATCCTAGACAATGGCAAGGTAGTGTTTTAAGCTCGCTATCCATTCCCTGCAAGTGTTTGTTAGTGAGAGTAAAGATGGAGAATATGGTGGGAGCTTTCCAAAACACAGCTTGACTGGTTGGCCTCCAGGCCTAGCCTGAATGAATATTTCTGGAATTTATATGTTATAACTAGTATAGCTTTACTGGGATTTTTTTTCCTCTTTCTTCTTCCATTTTTATTTTTTTAAAATGAGCCAAAGAAACTGTAAATTAAATTGACATTTTAAAATAGCTTATTTGAAAGATTTTTCTTACATTCTGATGGTAGTTTGATGAAACATGTCCTCTCTTCCTCTGAAACCAGATGCCTAAAGTTTATAAGGTGAACTGGAAATGAAGTGTTTGATTTACAGATAACAACTCAATATATATATTTGTTAGTCATCTATAAAGTATCTGTATGTTTCAAGCCCTGCGCCACATGCCAGGAATACAGGGTGAATGGCACAAGCTCTCTGGCTCTAACCCACCTTCAAGCTGTTTACTGAGCAGTGGTTAACCCACAGTCTTAGGGCCACATATAACTACTCAGATTTTCTTGTATGCCCCTTGCAAACAAATCATGAAGGGAAATTTAAGCACTGTTAGCAATTATATTGATACAGGGATGAAAAGTAGCCTTTGGAAATCTTAAAGTCACATGGTGATATATAGCAGCAGGGCAGGGGAGGAAATTGTTCTGACATCCTTCAAACATCCTGTTGAATTCATCTTTGAAGAAGTACATCAGAACCCTTTGTCTAGGCACTGACAAAATCTAGCTTTAGTGTTACATTCTCTGCCACCATGGCATACATTACAGATCTCACCTCTTACTCTCCTTAAAGAGTCATCTGTGCCAGTTCATTTTTCTTGCCTTGTGCTTTGAAAGGTTTCTGTTTATCTAGTATCATTCCCCAGTGGGATGATGAGAAAGAAAAGATTGTTTTATTTGGGTTTGTCCAGATATATCCCTGCAACTTGCCAGCCTGAGCCAAAGCAAATATTGTCAAGTTGAGGAAATGAAACCTATTAGTTTTTAGGGCTCTCTTGGATGTGCTGTCAGTCCCTACATCTCCCACTGAGCGTGTCCTCTCCTGCAGAGGCGAGGATGATGAGTCAGGCCACAGACCCGTTCTGCCTTGCCTTGCTCCATTCCACAGGCTTGAAAAGTCAGCTTTGCAGAGGGGAGGTGGCATGACAGAGTAGAAGCAGGCAGCCTGGAGCCTGTATTCTTAAAATGGCTCTACCTCCGTTCAACCTGCATGACCTTGGACAAGTCCTTCACATCTTTGGGCCTCAGCATCCTTATCTATGAAAGATGGGATTGGAGTGATGCTCTTCATAGGCCTTTTTTGACTCAAGCTGTGTATCTATATTTGGTGAACCTTCCCCAATTGAAGACAAAAGAAGATAGGACTGTTCTGTTTGTTGATTTTCTTTTAGTTATGACCACATTGTGAAGTGACTGGAGAGTTTTACTTAAAGCAGCTTCCAAGAGAAATCTATTTCTCTCTTGCTTTGAAGGCTGATAGACAGTTTCTAAGTATCATAGGGGACTTCTTTTGCAAAGATAATATTCTTCCCCCGGAAAACAAGTCTCTCAAACTTCATCTAATTTTTTTACATATGAGTTGAACAACAAATCTTGAAACTGCCTATTTTGTTTTTTTCATTGGTTTTTGCCAGCATGCTGCTATAAGACTAACCTGGTTTTTGTTTGCACCTAATTTGTAGACAGGCAGATTTTTTATGTTGGAGGGTGGGATAACAGACACACTGGAAGTAGATGGCAGCTGATAGCATCCCAGAGCAGCATTTTCCATATCTCATTGTTCTTGACTCTGCTGTCTTTTTCTGACCCTTCCTTCTCTCTGTATGATCAGAGACCTTAATCTCTGCAAGGCCTAGAGCACTGGAATGGGATCCCTGTCCTAGTAGGAAATGAAGTTTGTCCTATAAAACATTTCTCTAAGATGTATTTTGATCAAGCTCCATCCTACCAGATACCGTAGTTTTAATAACCCTCCTTGATACATAATGTTAGCATTTTGGTCAAGTAGAGCTTGACACACAAGTTACCTTCTGATGCTGATAAAGTGCATGACTTTTCTTTATTTAAGATGTTTCATTTCAAAAACTCATTGAATCATACACTGCAAAGACCATTAAAGTTTGAATAATCTAATAAATACATAGTATGGGTGGGGAAACATCCAGAGAAGGAACTCGTGTACTATTATGTAACAGGTTAAAGGCAGGCAGGAATGGAAGCCAGGGCTCCTGGTTCCCAGGGCAGTGCTCTCATCAGTCTATTTTGCTGTATCCCTGAAAACTGCACATTGCTCCGGGTGACCTTGAGCTTTGCTGACCTCAGGGGCCCTTGTCACAAATGCCCCAGCATATACCTGTGATTGGTTTACCCAGGGCCATTTCTTTCTGTGCTGTAAAGTTGGCCTTGCACGCAAATAAGTGTCAGAAAGTATTTTCTTTTCCAAGGAACATCAGTTCATCAGAACTGAAAACCAGTGCTATAAAGATATTAAATATGCCCATTAGCTTCTTACTGCTTTGTCTTCAAACTAGTCTTTACCACTTTGTAGGGTACAGAAGAGGCAAAGCCTTGACCCTCCCCCATGATATGTACTGTAAAGGACTGAATCAAGTGGTAAAAGCTCTAAGAGGGCTAGAAATTCAGAAGGGATTGAACTTAGCCATGGAACATTTCCTGGATTTTAGACTGGGCCTTGAAAGGTTAGTGGGCTTAAGGAGACAGATGGAAAGCATTCATTCCAGCTAGGGGAGTGGCAGGAGTAGAGACATGGGGAAGGGAAAGAAGGCAAAAATGTAGCAGTTGTTGTCTTCTTGACACTTTACTCATCTTGTGTCATGTAATCCTCAGCACAGCTCTATGAATTAGGTAATGATATGCTGGCTGTACAGCTCAGGAAGGTAAGGCTCAGAGAAGTAAAGTGACCGGCCCAAGTTAACCAGCTAGTTGGTAGAAAAGTCAGGATTTATACAGGGCTGGCGGCTCCAGAGGGTATTCTCTTTGTGACAGCACACTGGAAGTGGAAGGAAATGAATGCATTCAGGAGCTTTGTAGAGTGATGCATGTAGCAGGGAAATAAGGCTTAGTAGATAGAATGGATTCTAGTGGGCCATTAAAGCCAGGCTGAGGAGGTTAGATTAGATGTGACAGGCAACAGGGAACCATTCAAAATTCCAGCAAGTTAACATAAAAACACAGAGTTGATTGCAGAAGTCATCTAGTCAAAGAAGAAAAGAGATGTGTAAGGGAACTTAATCTGTCAGTGATTACAGGGTGGGCTGGAGGGAGCAGGTACTGGAGGCAGGAAGGCCAGTCTGTGGCTATTTTCCTGGTATCCCCATCTATGGTGGTAAACTGCCCTGGGGGATGGCACAGAAAGTGACCAGGCAGATGCAGAGGAAAAAACAAAAGGAAAACTGACTGACAGTGATGTATTAGGTCTGCTGTGTCTCAACCACATCAGCACTACCATGACACTGGTGGCAGCAAAGAAGCTGGGATAGGAGAAGCTTCAGGGTCACGTAGACTTGGGTTCGAACCTTGATTTCAAAATTGACTGCTTGTGTGTTTTAGAAAAAGTAATTTAATCCCTCTGAGTCTGTTCATATCTGTAAAAGAAGAAAATAATTACTATTTCCATCTCTTAAGGTCATTATGAGAAATAAATAAATTGAGTGTACAATACCTGGTTTTCTTATGTACCCCCAAAATATTAGCATCTCCTTTGTCTTGTGGTACACTGATTAAAATTACTTTATTTCTCTTTTAAGACTAATGAAGTAAAAGACCATAGAAAGTAAGGCCTAGGATAAAAAAGATTAGAGTTATCTCTGGAAAAAACTGAAGTTGTCATCCATCTGTAAGATTTTCTGATTCAGAATTTAATTCAAAGTCACTTGCTTTTCCCCATCTCAGGAAACTTATGTGGGTGGCTCCAGAGTGTCTTCAAGGGAGGTGACGCAGGGTCCAGCAGGGAGCAGCAGGGAACTTGTCCTCGGCATGCCCTATATGGCACACAGACTGCCCACCTGCAGTTCAAACTGTAGAGAAAAGGCCAGACTTGACCTTGGTGTCAGTGTTGCCTAGCCAGCCCCAGGTAGTACATCTCACTCCAGGGTTTCTTATCTCTTCTGAACTGGATGAACAGATTGCAGTACTGAAGTTTATAGCACAGAGAGGCCAGGTGGATCTGGTTATCTGCTTGCCTGCAGCAGTCTGAATGATCTTCTGCGCACAAGAGATGAAGTCAGATGCGGCAGGTAGCTTGTTTACTTACTAACGTTTATGGGCGAGCTGTGTTGCTATTTTTTTTTTTTTTTTTTTTTTTAATGGTTGGAAACCTTAGTAATTGGTGAAGGAAGAAGTGTTGCTGACTGGCCAGTCTGCCCATTTGTGTGTGCCTGCCTTCCTTCCCAAGCCAAGCTTCAGTAGAAAGATCTTTAGTTGTTTTTTAAACAGGCTGGACTGCCATCAGTATTGGTGTGAATGCAGTCTTTCAGAGCAGGTGCTCTTCTGAGATGTCTCTTGACCATACATTAACAGTGACCCACAGGCCCTTCTGAAGACAAAGACCTTTGACAGAGCCTTCTCATGCCCCTTAAAAAGTTTAGCACATTGGCAGCTGCCACCCCTCCATCCCACAGAGGCCATTTTCTCTCTTCATAGACTCAGCAGAAGCACAACCTAAATGGCAATGTCAAAGTCAAAACTATTTTTTAATGATGAACGTTAGTAAATGATTTGTGAGTTGTTAAAAGATCCAGAAGGGAGAACAAATGTGAAAGCTTGTAGCATACTGCTAGGACATTCTGGGTCTTTCGCATTTATTGGCTCTGCACTGAAACTTTCTGACCGCTTCCCTTCTAGGGCACCTAAGATGGTGTTCTGTTCCATGTGCCATCAGAGTCAAACTGGGTACAGTGTGGTTGTGTTTAATTTGCTAAAATCATGGATGTTTTGAGCTAGGAGGAACTTCAAGATGAAATCCAACTCTCCCACTTCACAGAGGGAAACTGAAGCTGAACTGAGAAGGGACTTAAACAGCTACACTCCAGTTGGCAGGGCAGCTGCTCTCCTCACTCCAGCTGGTGGGGGTTTTCAAACTTAGCCATACGTTGGAATTATCTGGGGAGCTTTAAATTATCCTGATACCTAGACCACACCCAGACCAAATAAATCTGAATATCTGGGAGTGAGGCCTAGGCACCAGTGATTTTTTACAGCTCCCCAGGTGACCCCTGCATGCAGCCAAGGTTGAGAACCACCATGCGAGGAGGATAGGTGTCCCAGAATGTTCACATTCAAGGGAGACGAGTCTTTCCATAGTGTAACACACAGAACAGAGTTAAGCACATGTGTCCTGAGGTTTGGCCAGGCTCTGAACAGTCGTGTGAAAACATGAATATAGTTTAGAATCCCAGCTCTGCCACTTGTTAGCTGAGCGATGTTCAGCAGATCACCTCACCTTTCTTAACCTGGGCCATGAGGACTTGAGACAGTGAACATAAAGCACTAGAATAAGGTCTGGCACATTACAGGTATTCAGTAAATGGTAGCTATTATTATTATTATTATTATTATTATTATTATTATTACCCTTCAAGAGAGTTAATTTGGTATTTATGGTGTGAGTTCCTTATAATTGTGCAGCAATACTTTTTAAAGGACAAGAGAAGCCTCCCACTGCCCTCCTGTTAGACTAAGCAGGTGCTGGTGTTCTTATCCCTTTTAGGTCCATCTGGGAAGCGGGATTTGGGTTGATGAGGAGAAATGGCACCAGCTACAAGTAACCCAAGGAGATTCCAAGTACACGAAGAACTTGGCAGTCATGATTTGGGGAACAGATGTTCTGAAAAACAGAAGCGTCACTGGAGTCGCCACAAAAAAAAAGAAAGATGCAGTCCCTAAGCCACCCCTCTCGCCTCACAAACTCAGCATCGTCAGAGGTAGGTCAGTGAGTGGAAGCATAATGGCTGAGATTCTGTCCTTTACTCTATCAAGATTGTATTAGGCACAATTCAATTCAACTCTTACTGAAACCTCTGCATGCCAGGCCCTGGACTGGGCATGGGGGTACAGCAGCAGGTATTCCAGAAGAGCTCATATTTATTTACCAGGGCAAATGATGTGTGGGTATGAGTACAATGCATGAGAGAGGGACAGATGATGTGCTAAAGGAGTTCCCAGGCAGGGAGAATACTGTTAGTTGGAAAACCAAAGAATTCCTATGGAAGGAGTCACTGAATAGGGCCTTGAAGGATACTTCGGATATGGAGACACAGACATGTATGGAGAGGTACATCAGGAGGCAGAAGCATCTTGAACAAAAGCGTGGAGATGGGAGAAGTGCTGCTGTGCACAGAGGGCAGTGAAGGTCAAGGCTGGGGGATGCAGTTCTTGGTGGTTCTAGCACTATGCCTGGAGCAGTTAGTGATATGAAGACCAGCTGGTAGTCACTGGAATCAACTTCCTTTCTGGTATTTGGGGGGAGTTGGAGGATAGGCAAAGAGACAGGGAGTCACTTGTCTCCCTAAAGGTAGGGCAATACCCCGGACTCTTTGATTTGCCCGCCTGCCTCCTTCTTCTCCTTCCTGCTTTCTCTTCTTCTCCCTCCCTCCTTCTCTTGCTTCCTTCCTCCACTCTCTTCCCTCTTCTCACCTTTTTTCTTTCTTCTTTCTTTCCTACCTTCTCTCCATTCATTTGTTCTTTGCCAAGCCCTCTGCTAGGTTTTGAGGACACAAAGAGGGATAAGATACAGTCTCCATCTGCAAGGACCTCACAGTCTCATGGGGAAGATGAACACAAAACAATTCATTGCTATACAGAAAATATAAATTTCAGAGAGGTGTAAAGAGAACAAAGAGAACATAGTAATTACTAATTATTTCCAGCATTTACTATGTTTCAAGTTCTGTTTTTCCCCTCAACAGTTCTCTTAAAAAAACAAAAACACTTTTACATATATTAACTTACTATTTTCATAACATCCCTACTGTTGGCTACTATTAATATTCTTATTTTACAGATGAGGAAGCTGAGACACAGAGATGTTATGTAACTTGCACAGGTTATACAGCTAGTAGGAGTAGAGCCAGGAGTTGAAGCCAGTAGGCTAACTTCAGAATCTATGCTCTTACCCACTGTTCTCTCAGTGTTGGGTCTGCCATGTTTTGTTGAAGAAAGTAAGTCTCAGTCAGTCAACACGTATTTTCAGCAGACCCCAGGTTCTGGGGGTAGACACCAAATATGTCCAGGAACAAGTCAGATAATTTCAGATAGTGTGAGCTTCCTCGTATGATGTAGTGGAACAGAGAGGATTGTGGTAGCTGGGGTGGTTGGAAAAGGTCTGTTTGCAGAGGTGACATTTGAGCTGTGAATTGGATGTGGAATAGGCAGCCTGTGAAGGTCTGAGGGGTGGCAAGTCAGGCAGAATAAACAGCAATAAAAGACCAGCATGCTCAAAGGGTAAAGAAGCACTGGGTGGCTGGGGAGTTGAGAGGAGGGGAGAGGGAGGTGAGAGAGCTGGGCGAGAGCCAGTCTTATGGGACCAGTATGCAGCCTGGATTTGTGCTACTTGAGTAGAAAGCCAATGGAGGTTTCCTGGTTGTGGAGTGACCACATGGGCCATCAGTTAGAAAGCTGATGAAGTACTCTCAGTGGAACATCCCACTACCGCAGAGTAAGGCAGCAGTGGACATGAAGAAAGTGACTGGGTTTAGGGTATATTGAGATAATAGGACTCAGAGATTAAGGGACCAGCCTGAGGTCATGGCTACAAGGTTTCAGAACCTGAATTCAAACTGCTGACTTTGGCCTAGGGTTTGTTCTGCTGTGACACTGCTGATTCCCTTACCCAGCCAGCTCGGGATTAATTCATTTCGGCAGCCACTTATTTTAAAGTTATCATAGGTAACCTTTAGTCTGACTGCTGTCTGAAATGGTGTTTGGGAGGTCACCCTGAGAAAGAGGCCATCCTGAGGATGCAGCCCTGCCCTGCCTGATGGGTGACCGACCTCTTTGTTGGAACATGACTCAGCAGATCCTGGGTGTGTTCCAGTAATTGTTTGTCCCTACAGTTGTCACATGGTATAAAATCTTCTGTGTGTCTGCCTCAGGGACCCAGGGACTGTATCTGTCTCTATGCCCTCATTGCCTGGCACAGTGCCTGGCACACAATAGGAGCTCAGTAAATGCAGGTTGAGCAGAAGAAACTCTGAGACCCACAAGCTGATTCCCTGATTGACCCTTGATGTGATTTCTTATAAATTACTTGCTCCCCATGTTTCTGTGTCCTTAGCCAAAAATGTACCTCTTGAAATGGTCAGGGATGCCTAGGGTTGTAGCAGTAAAACAAGGTAGGAGAGTACATCTCTGCTGTGTGCCTTGGGTCCATGACACACTCACTGCCTTCACCTCAGCTGGGACTTAGCTTGTCTGCCAAGTCCTCTGAGTTTCTCTCCCTGATTCACTCCCCCATTTTCCAAGCCCTTTGTAAATTTTTCTACTCTGTCCAAACATGAGAGTTCATGCCCATCTTTCTCAAAAGATGGCCTCATCCCTTATTTAACAAAGTAAAGGAATTTCCATAGCTTCCAACCACTATACCTACAGATTTAACTATATCCCCATTTTTCTGCCTCACTTTCCCAAAAGAAGAGTGTCCTTCTCTTATTTGGGTCTGGTGACTCTCTCCATCTGGACCCCAGTACACCTGCCTTCCTTAGGACTTTGTTCCTCTAATTAGGCTCTGCTCTACTGGTTCCTTCCCTGCATCCTTGAAATGTACTTTGATTACTCATTTCTTACAGAAGCAAAGAAAACACTCCTTAAAGGGCACTTCCGTCAGCCAGCTGCTGCCGTGTCTCTCTTCTTTCACATCCAGGCTTCCTGAGAGACACTAACCGCCTGTGTTCCCTGGTGATGCCCCTGCTATTTGCCTTCCCCTCCCAGCCTTCGACTTCATCTGTCTTCACCCAGGTCCCCAGTGACTTCCTTGTTACTAAATCCAGGGCTCATTTCTCACCCTGTCACCAGCACTGTATGACGTGGCCATTCCTCCTTTACCGCAACACCCTCTCGGCACACTGAGGATTTCTTCCCACCTCTCTTGCTTCTGTCTCTGTCGTAGGCTTCTCTTCCTGTGCCCTCTCCTTTGTCCCCAACCCTCTTCTCTCTCATCCTACCAACCATTCTTTGGCCCATCTCTTTACTTCCCATTCCCACTGCCTTCAGCGGTCTCTTGGCTCTTGATTGGAATCCTTACTCCTCAACTGGCTGATGCCTGGCGATCTGGCATCTGGTGACCCCTCTGACCTTACCTCACATCACACTTCCCATTTGCCACCATGCTGTAGCCACAGTGGCCTCCTTCCAGCTCTCTCCTCCTGATCCGCACACTTTGTCTCCTTGTTACTTAGAAAGGCCTCCCCAGCCACCCAGTCTAAAGTAGCCTCTCCATTGCTGTCTGTCACATCAGCCTACCTAAAGTGTCTGTATAGTGTTTCTTACATGTTTACTGATTATTGTCTTTTTCTCCCCAACTCCATGAGAATATAAACTTTATAAGTGTCTTGTGCAGGGATAGCCTATAGTAAGTGCCCAATAAATGTTTGTTGAATCAATGAATAACGATTGACCACACTTTATTCACACAATGAATAATGATTGACCAAATCAATATTGACCACACTTCTGAATCCCTAATCCATATATACAAGTGCCCACTAGTCATCTCCTCGTGGAAGGCCACATGACATTGGCAAATCTGCACTTCTCCCTCCTTCTCCACAAAGCCTTCTGCCATGTGTTCCCTGTCTTGGTGAGTGGAACCACCAGCCAGGGACCCAGGCCTCACCCATGGCTCCTCCACATGCCTCACTGCCCATCTGTTTGGCCCCCAAATACCTCTTAAGCCACCTACTTCTCTTCATACCGACTGTCCCTCTGTAGCCCAGGCCACATCATTTCTCCCCTCCATTACTCTGGCAGCTTCTAGACTCCTTTCTCCATTAAGTAACCAAAATGATCTTTCAGAAACCAGATATGATCTCTTTTCCACCACCCAGGTCACAACCTGTTCACAGTGTTCATTATTCAAGGATAAGCTTCTTAACATGCCATAAAAGCACCTTCATAATCTGGCCCCTGGTTATATCTCCCGCATTATTTTTCAGCAATATTCCCCTTGAACTCCAAGTTATTACCATGATGAACTGCTGTATTCCCTGAACAAGGCTTGTCCTGTCTCACTTTGGAGAATTTGAAAATGCTCTTCCTGGTGTCTGGAACACAGGCCACACTACCTACCTACCACCTGTGCTCCATTGCCCAGCAAACTGCTGCTCACCACCCAGATCTGCTCGGTGAATCTTCCTTCAGGAAGTCATTCCTGACCTCTTACGGTGGGTGGGTGCTTCTGTCATCTGTCCCAAAGCACCCAGTCCTACCTCAGTTCTCTTCTTACTACATCTTTGCCTCCTAGGACCCTTGTCTAGCAACCCCTAGAGCCTATAAATGCTTGCCATGTAACTAAATGAGAAGGAAATAGACTTGCCCACGGCTATACAACCTATTAGAGAAAGAGCCAAGTTGAACTGAGGTTTCAGGCTTCCTGCTGTCACCAGAGGTTTCTTGTCTTACTGAAATACAATGTTGATTATTATATTTTTACTGTAAACAAGCAGGTTTGAAATCTGTCTCCCAACCCACCACACAATCACTGTTTTAGCCTAATTATTTGAGCTATTCCAGATTGCATTTGGCTGGTTCTTTCCATGCAAGCTGTCTGCTGGATTGAGATTGTATTTATTTTGTCTGATTTTATCACATTTTCCATATAAAAATGGCAAAAGCCTTTATGCTCACAGGGTTGGTGAGGATTTTCTCTTCTCTTTGATTTTAAAATTGCTTCTTACCAGAGAGCAGAAGGATGGGTGGACATTGACTCTGCTTTAGAAAGATACAAGCAGGAGAGCTGAAACAGGCCTGCTCTAATGACAAGCTCTTGAATGACGAATGACAGTCAAACCTATTAAGGTCAAATGACCTTTAACAGAGTGTCTGAGTTTTCTAAATGAGCCTCAGCATTGCGTTCTGGTTAATTTTTTTAACTTTTAATAGGACACATTAGCACTGTTATAAACCTTGTTAATTAAGCAATAATCTCAAATGCTCCCTCGCAGAGGGAGACATTCCCGGCAACTGCAGGTGATTAATATCTAGAGTCTAACGAAAGCCTTTTAATCAACCTGAGGAGCCGTTCAGCGCTGTTACCCCCAGGAAATGAGAATGATTGGAATTCAGTGGGGGCCCTTCTGAAAACCTCCCTCCATTTGCACCTTTCTCTTTCTACCTCTTCTCTAATAGTAGGGGCACTAAGGGCCATCACACCCATATCCTGCCTTTCCGTTCTCTCTCGTTTGTCTGTTTACCTGCCTTATTACTTTACAGACAACTAGAGACTTAGAGCTGGGAGATTCTCCTGAGATTACCTGGTTTGACATCTTACTTTCATAGACAGTAAAACTGAGACCCGAAGAGGTTCCCTTTAGAGACTACCCAGCATATAGGGTTAGAGCCATATTTGCATACCTGCACTTCTAAGCAGCTCTCATCACAAACTGTCTTCCTTTTTGGTTTAGATTCTGGCAAAGTCACTGTGTGTATTTGCTTTCCCTCAGCTCAGGGCTGGAGAGGGAATACCCATCCAAATGTCCCAATGGGGAAAGACAGTGTGGTTACTAGTTTTATTAGATTGTGATTAGTGCTTTGACAGAGAGACAAACCCAGACAGGTGTGGGAGCACAGAGCTTTAGGTAGAGTGGGGCTATGGTTAGAGAAGATTCAAGAAGGCTGAATGTAGAAGAGTGAGGAGGACATAGACAGGTGAAGGGTGAAGGGTGAAGCCAGGGTATTCTGGGCAGCTGACTTCCTAGCCTGGGGACCTGGTGCAAATCATTGCCCTAGATTCTTCACCTCAACAATAAGGATAACAAACCACAGAGTATCTTTTTTAAGGCTGCCATGAGGGATGTGGGAACAAACATATTACAAGCAAAGTCACTGGTATAAGGGATAGCTTGGAAAGGAGAAGGAATTGTGAGTGAATATAGCAGAGATGGGGCTGGAGAGAGAGAGCTTCCTACCTTTTTGTCTCTCAATCCTGGTGGAAAGGCCAAGACAAGATAATGTGAAGATTAGTCAGGCTTGGTGGGAGTAGTCAGGAAGTGGTGGAGGTCAATTAAAAGCTTCGAAAGGCTTCTCTTGTGCAACACCCTTCTTAGTGAGAAAGAAAGGGTGCCCCAGAGAAAGAACGCTTATAACACAATGCACCTGCAGCGTGGATGGCAACAGGAGGCAGATTGGCTTTGTGCCCAGGAAAAGGCTCAACGTGTCAAGAGGGAGCAGTGGGTTCTGCCCCATTCCTACTCCCTTTCTCCAGGCCTCAGCCTTCTTATGTATAAGTAGAGGAGTTAGCACAAGGTAGTCTTCATAATCCCTCCTAGTGTTGACATTTTGAGAGTATTGCCTGCTCTGGGCTGGTTTGGGAAAGACAAGAGTTTGCTTTTTCTGCATAACAGTTCCTTAAGATCAGACTGTCATTCCTGTTTAGGTGAGAAAGCTCAGGCTCAAAGTTAAGCATTTTGACCATGATTATACACCCAGGGTACATTCCCCACCCACACCCTAGTCCTCTTACATCCAGAATGTCTGTGCTCCCTTACATTTCCCTGGAAAAGCATTTATTCATTTATTGATTTAACTTGTATTTATATAATCCTGCCCCTGTGCCAAGCACTGTGCTAGGATCTAGAGATTAATAGTTGTAGATACATAAAATACTTGGAACAACACCACACAGAGGTAGTATTCCTTGCAGTTTGAAAAAGGCTTGTAATGTGTTTATTCCCACATCCCTCATGGTAGCCTTAAAAAAGATACTCTGTGGTTTGTTATCCTTACTGTTGAGGTGAAGAATCTAGGACAATGATTTGCACTAGGTCCCCAGGCTAGGAAGTCAGCTGAAATCACACTCCAGCCGGGCCTTGTTTGGGGCTGGTTTTTTGCTTCATCACAGCAAATGGTAGACTCAGTAAGAGAGTGACTGTCCTCAACCTCATTAGTAATCGCAGCAATGAGACACCACTTCACACCCACCAGGTTGTCAAAACCTTAATAATGTGACAATGTCAAGTGCTGTTGAAACGGGGCAACCAGCTCTTGCATACAGTGTTGCTAGGAGTGCCAGTCAGCATAACCACTTTGGAAAACAATTTACTAGGCATCAACTAATGAAGTTGAATATGCACACATCTTAACATTCAGCAATTCCATGCCTAGGCTGATACTCGAGAATTTCCTGCATGTGTACTGCAAGGACATGTGCCAGGATGTTTACAATCACAAAACCAAATATCCATAGACAATAAAATAAACAAATTGTGGTACAGTCATGCAGTAGACCACTACTCATCACTGATGATGAATGACCTATAGCTATACACTTCATGGATAAATCTCAAATCTGTAACATTTGAGTGGAAAAAAAAGCAAATCAGAAGCATATATAGGGTGTGGACATATTTGTAAAAATGCTGAAAACAAGGAAAATAAACTATATGCTATTAACAGTTATATACATGTGTTAATAATGAATATTGTTAAAGAAAAGAAAAGGAAAAATTCAGGAGAATGGTTACCCCTGGTGAGGGAGAATAGAGGAAAGGATTAGGGAAAGACATCCAAGGGTTTCAGAGCAACCAGTAATGTCCTATTAAGCTGGGTGGTGGCACAAGGATGTTTTATTATTACTTTTATTTTATTTATTTATTTATTTTTTGAGTTGGAGTCTCACTCTGTCGCCCAGACTGGAGTGCAGTGGCTGCTCCCGGCCAGTGCAGCCTCGACCTGCTGGGCTCCGGCGATCCTTCCGCCTCAGCCTTCCGAGTAGCCGGAATTACAGGCATGCGCTGCCACGCCCAGCTGATTTTTTGATTTATTGTAGAGATGAGGTCTCATTGCCCAGGCGGGTCTCGAACCCACGGGCTCAGGCAATCTACTCACCTCAGCCTCCCAAAGGCGCGGGATTACAGGCTGAGCCACCAAGCCCAGTTTATTATTACTTTTAAAGTACAAATTTGCAGTGTATATCTACTCTTTTCTTAGTACTTTTTATAATGCAAATTTTAAAATATAGCCATGCCATATACATGAATGGCTATTTAGGAAGTATGTCAAGAGGCACATTTTCTTTTATTCCCTTAAAAGATTTGCACTTGAATTCACCATTAATCCTTGGCCTTCTTGTTTCTTCTCCCTGTCTAGAGTGTTTGTATGACAGAATAGCACAAGAAACTGTGGATGAAACTGAAATTGCACAGAGACTCTCCAAAGTCAACAAGTACATCTGTGAAAAAATCATGGATATCAATAAATCCTGTAAAAATGAAGAACGAAGGGAAGCAAAATACAATTTGCAATAAACTTTGGATTTTTCATAAAGCCTTCGTGTTTTCCTTGTGTGGCATGTGATTTGCGAGCAAGCGATGGTGCCGTCCAAATCAAACCCCTCCATGCCTGGTGGTGAGCAGTCAGGGAGCCAGTTGGGTTCTGGGTTCAGCAGCTTTTTCTGAACTTGGACTTCCCACTCCAAAGAAGGCAGATGGACTCAGGAGCAGCCTGGCGCCGAAGTAGTTCTGGGAATGGGGCAAGCACTCTTTTTGGAGGGAGATAAGTTGTCTCTGAGTTGCCTATCATTTAACTAGGTTTTGACCTAATATTTTTGCCATCCAAGGACTTCTATCTCTGTTCCTCTATTTTGTTCTACAATAAAACTTCATTAATTCTTTGATGTACACAATCATTATCCTTATTTACTTAGAATATTACATGTACAGAGGAGGTGACCAGTGTGTTGTGGGCCTGGGATGCCCCTTTCAAGGGAAGAACATTCAGGTTGAAAGAGAAAATCCATGAGATGTGGTTGCTTTCTACAGATCTGCAGGGATTTCTCAAAAATAGATTTCTTTCTCTGAATTAAAAGGCCAGATCTTGAACCAATCAGCTTCCTGACTCAAAATGATCTGAGATTCAGCTCCCTGATAATTTGAATCAACCCTTGTAAAGGGAGGTGATAATGTTAAATGTGGTATAGGGTTGCATTCAGGAAGTAGGGGCAATGTCACCCAGTATTCGGGGTTTTTTGTTTGTTTGTTTTTATCCTGTCTTGTATCTTGAATGTTCTTTTAAGTTATGTAACTTTAATCTCATTCTTTATTCAATTACTGAGTCTCTAAGGTGCCTGGCACACACCCTGGCAAACCACATTAGAGCTTCCTGTTGACTTGCACTTTGCTTTCTGTAATGCCTATGAAGTATGCATGGTTTATTAGAAAGGGCAAGTGCTTTGAGCCAACATTTCTTGGTTCCAAGCCTGACCCCCCTGCTCACTTTGAGCTTAACCTATCCTGAGTTTCCATTTTCTTTCCATAAAAAGGAGATAATACCTACCTTGCAGAGTTGCTACAAGGATGAGAAGACAACATATATATAAGGTGCTCAGTAAATATTGACAATTGTTACTGTCTTCATTTCTGATGATTGGTTTTTAGTCATTGGTTAGAAAACTGGCCTCTGGTTTCTCTAATGATTTATCCATTAATTGGTGGTCTGTAACTAAAGCTCAGGGTCACTGGGGTCAGTAGGGGAGGTGGCCTCCACTTTGAAAACTTTTATTTTAGTAAATAAAATAATCATATATAATAGGAAATATGTGCATGCTAATAGGATGCATTTCTCTCTGTGGTATTTTCTTAACTCCATAAACTAGCAGTATAAGTGATTTTGGACTGATCACTTAACTTCTCAGAGTCCTTGGCAGTATAATGAGGAAAATAATGCCTCCCTCACAGGCTGTATGGATAATTTGATGATAATAATAATAATAACAGATACTTAATATGTTTCAGGACTTTGCTAGGTGTTTAACATAGGTTAACTCACGAGGTAAGTAAAGTTCCTGACACTCAAATGTTCAATAAATTCTTGTTCATCGCTGGGCTCGGTGGCTCAGCCTGTAATCCCGCGCCTTTGGGAGGCTGAGGTGAGTGGACTGCCTGAGCCCGCGGGTTCGAGATCCCCTTGGGCAGCGAGACCTCATCTCTACAATAAATTTTTTAAAAATCAGCCGGGCGTGGTAGCTTGCACCTGTAGTTCCGGCTACTCGGAAGGCTGAGGCAGAAGGATCGCGGGAGCCCAGCAGGTCGAGCCTGCGGTGGCCAGGAGCAGCCACTGCACTCTAGTCTGGGTGACAGAGTGAGACTCCAACTCAAAAAAAAAAGAAAAAAGATATGTTCATTTTAGGGCATGGGAATGCTTGGGCATGAGTACTGGAGGATTCTTGAAAGACTGAAAAGTGTGCATCATTGTTGAGCTCTTCCCCTTTTCTCCCTAGCATGGCAAAGATACAAACACCCAGAGGCTTTGCATTTCTCTTTAAGGACTGATATAATATGGTACCTGCTTTATAAGTGCTTTTAAGTTAGAGGGAGAAATAGTTGTGCAAATAACTACAATAAAAATGCTGTGATGTATATCAAAGGGCTTTGTGTAATGTATGATGTATATAATAGAGGCAGAACAGGGTTCTTACAGATCGTGGGATCTGGGTTTAAATCCTGGTTTTACCACTTCCAAGCCCTCTCTGGGCCTTGTTTCCTCTAACATGGAAATGATGACCTCCTAATTCAGAGTCCTGGTAGAGAGTAAGTTAGATGTTACCTGTGAAAAGGGCTCTATAAATGACAAAGACCTATGCAGATGTTAGTTACTATCCTAAGGCAGAATGAAATCAGTGGTGGATGCAGCAAGGAAGTGCACTGCACAAGCCAGTTTCACACACAAATTAGACTGAGATGATTCTGGGTCCCTGTGGTGTACCTTGTGCCCTGGTACTGTGATATGAGGGCAAAAACATTATTCTTACACCCATGTAAATATTGAACTAGATTCAGAAAAGATTAAATAATTTCTTTCCCAAGATCCTGGAGCTGTCAGCAGTGGAGGTGATCAGAATTCAGGTCTGTGCAAAAACCTGCCTTTTTTTATCTCTAACCTGAAAGATGAGTGAAAAATATGGTCTGGGCTAAGAATCTAGCCACTTAATATCAGAATATGTTTAGGGGAAACCCAACCTAAGTAACTAGTGATTATCAATCTTGCGAATTCAGGCCATTTGGACGGACTGAGAATGATACTACTGTTTATAAGCATTCAGAGTTTTATTAACATTCAAATACATACACAAAACTCAAATTCACTTTGTGTAGTAAAGTGACTCCCAAACTTGCCAAATCTTAAGAATTTGCTGAGGTGCTTAAAATATAGGCTTCCTAGGTTTTAGCTTGGAGAGCTTAAATCGGTAGTTCTGGGATAAAACTGGGAACATGTATTTTAACACAAAATGCCACTTTTAAAAAATACCAGTTTAGTTAGAAGTTGTTAGAAGGTCTGCTTTAATGAAGGAATGAAAGCAGAAAACTGATGGTCCTTCTAGAATGCCTGAAGATATTTGAAGCTGAGAATAAAGTTCTTGAATAACTGAGGATCTGCCCTGGAACCTTGTTTTGAGTTCTTCATCCTTACCAAATGCTGTTTAGCTGGACACAAATGCAGAAGGTGACTTTCTGTCTAGACACCAATGATCTTCTCTCACTTGACCACTTAGATTCTTTTTATTCCTGTGCCAGGCCAGTGAGTCATGTAGGAGAGGATAGTCAATACTGAATTGGTGGGACCTGAATCAATGAGGTTTGGGAGCTGTCTTCAGAAGCCCTAGCAACAAGTTCCCTGTTGCCAGATGAAACAGAAAGATGGGGCTTGGCTGTATTTCCTGGCTGAGGAAAGTGTGTGGGTAACTGTTAGGTGCCTGCATGTTTCTTGTATTCATTTCTAAGTTATGACTCTCCTTGTGATTATAAAGAAATAAAACCTACTTTATAGAAATTTTTGGAAAAACCCTCCAAATTGCTTTGCTGAAAGCATTGTGATATCATTTCATCAAGTCATTTTTCAAGGGCATGAATATGTATTATTATACATACCTGTAATAATAGCATAGGATTGGGTTTGTATCCTTCCCTTTGCACTTAATATGTTTCCCTGTTGCTTCATGAAATTCATTAACCATCAGTGCTAATATCTACAAAGTAGATGGACATAAAATTAAGTAAACCTTCTGGTCAACTGCCCCAAGCCTTACAGTGGAGCTAATCCACAGGTCTGCTGGCTCATAAAGGGCCTCACTGCACACTTTCAACAAGCGCCATGGTAGAGCGAGCTTGAGTTAGGAGACAAATGTGTTTGAGCTTGGCTCCCAACTCTAGTACTTGCTGCCCACTTCATCTTTCTTAACACCAGCTTCTTCTGCTGCAAAATGGAGGAAACAGCATCTAGTTATGAGGTTATTAGGAGGCCTGAGAATATAAAGTGTTCCCGCAAGAGGTGCTAGAAGGCCATGTGTTTTAGTGTTGGAATTGCTCCCCTCTTCTCCTCTCCCTACACCCATTCATTCCTTATCTTGGTGTGCTCCTAGCTCATTCCTACTGACCTCTTAGGTAGTGACCTCGGCTTTCATACCCACCTTTGGCTCTGTAGAAGTTCTTGGTGCTCAGGGACTTTTCCCTGTGCATGCTGAGTAGCCTCACTGGCCTTCCTGCTCCCCTCACCTACCTCAGCCCCTCCCCCTAAGCACCCAACTCATCCATTTGCCCTTCCTTGATTGTTTTTAGATTGTTAATAAATAAAACTCAGATGAAGATTTGTATTTGCATGGTGTTTTCTCTTTATATTTCTCATTGTTTTCTTAGGGTGGTTTCACCTGGGTCAAAAGAAATGACATTTTTATCACTCTTGATACATATAATGAATGTGAGCACTTTTTAAATTATTTTGTCAAAATAAAGGCTAAAAATAGTACATCATGGCCGGGCTCAGTGGCTCAGCCTGTAATCCCAGCACTTTGGGAGGCCGAGGTGAGTGAATTGTCTGAGCCCACCGGTTTGAGACCCGCCAGGGCAACTTGGCGAGACCTCATCTC